CTCAAGAACTGAGGCTCAGGCTATATTTGAGGGTCTTTGAAACTCACACGCTGGATCGGCAGATATATCCCGGCGCCGCCCCTGGAGCGCTTCGCGCGCCAGGGAGGGGGTCCAGCGCCGATCCGAGAAATCCGCGCGGACTTGCGAGTTTTTATGTTTATGTCATTTTTTGTTCCCCTAATATCGGAGATCAATGTTCGAACGGTCCTGCTTCGATCTAGTGTAGATCCAATTTCGAGTTTCGCATGATTTGGTTCTCATCTAGTTTCGATTTAGTTTTGGGCTAGTCTGAGCAAAAGGGCGACCCCTCACTCGGAACATTTCAAACTAGCCATACTCTTTGCCAAATTCAAAACTGAATCATGGGAGAATCGCGCGTAAGTCTAAGCTAGATCGAAGCTCGATCGCGGCTACGGGCGCCGTCTCTCAATGCCGTAATTGTTTCGGTTCAGCAGCGCAGTGTTGTCCCGAGTAAAGTTCCCGAGCGCCGCGCTTGCGCGTGCCGGCTGACCACCTCGCTGCATTATATTCGCGCAGGGAAATGGCACCGAAGAGCGAGCAAGTTCGAGGGGGCGCAGTCTCTTCTCGGCGACCTGTGCGAGGGAGATCGGAGGTCCGAGGAGCCCCTGGGCGCCGAGGAGAAGCGCGCCGAGGGGGGCGAGGAAGGGGGCGGGGAGGAAGACGATGGTGAACCTCTGGTCGCCAAAACGCCCGCTGGTGGCCCAAGGCGCATGGCGTTGAGGGCGAAGTGCGCTGCATTCGCGGCCGAGAAGCCTCCTGCCATCGTCGGCGAGAGGCCTGCGGCGGCAGCAGACGACGCCGACGAGGACGAGGTGACGGGCGGCCGCTCGAAACCCAAGATGGTGTCGCGCCCCCAGCTCACGGACAGCTGGCCAAAGGAGGTCGTGCGTTGTTTTGAGGGCGCCTCAAGAGTGAGAGTGTCTGGAGAGCGCCTTGGGAACGCGCAATCGAAGCGCCCATTTCTGTTTCCGCTCTTTTCCGTGGGCCCCATATCGAGCGGCCGAATTCGTGGAAATAGTTTTTTTTGTTCTCGCGGCGAAGCGTGAAACATTGTGGATAGTTATTGACTGCTACGTTTGGGCATCTTGTGATGTGAGAACCGCTCGTCGCCGAGGCTGGATTCAAGTATTCGGCGTTCGTCGTTGCCTTTTTCCGCACGCCCTCCCTCCTCCAGACATCCGTGGCCCTTGGGGTCCAGCCGTTTCTGTTCTGCGGAGGCGCTGGGGCGCCGCGGCGGCTGCCGCCGGCGAATGGGGCGGGTCTCGGCAGGCCGGGGCCGCGGCGCTCCCGCAGAGCGCGGCGGCGCGTTTCCTGGCGCAGGAATGACAGAGGGGCCGCGTTGCGCCTCGGCGGCGCCAGAAGAGTGCGCGTGGGCGCCGCTGATTTTTTGGCGGGGATTGGAACGCGCGGGCAGAGTCCGCAACGCATGCGCTCAGAGTTCATGGGAGAGTTCTCGCCCGAATCGGCGCCAGAGCGTTCCGCGCGATCCCCAAAGCGAGCAACATTGCGGTTCCTAGAGGGACTTGGATGGCTCGTGGCCGCACGCGTCGTTCCACGGCGACTCTTGGCGCGTTCTGGAACGGCGCCAAGGAGTCGAACCAATCTTTGAGTCATTCCAGCAGCTTCGTCGGCATTATCAAAGCCTCGCCGATCCAACTTCAGCGCGCGGAGACGGGGCGCCCGTCGCGGGATTGGGGGCATCACGGGGGTCGCGGGATTTGGTCGCGGTCATCCCTGAGTGACTATGAGGCAATTTGAGTTGCCCCATTCACACTGGCCTTCAAGCGTGTTCACATGCCGGCGAAACGTTGATTCAGGTTGTCGAGGATTTAAAATGGTCGCTGGAAGCTTTACGGGGAAGCGCGCGGCCAGAGGTTGGCGAACATGGCGTGGCTATGCGGCCAGGGTCACAGAGCTGCGATCTGGTTGGCAGACGCGATGCTGCTTCTGGGCCTTGGTCGGCGATGTGGGTTTCATCTGGACGGGCATTGGCCTGCCAGACTGCAAAACATTGGCGGGGCTTTGCGGTTGGTGCCCGTGCAATGACACCACCGTGTTGCGGCGCGAATTTAGACCCAATGCCGCGTGGGTCCAGAATGTGCTCACAGAGGTTCAGCGGAGGGCTCTAGGCGTGGATGCGTGCAATCCTTTGTTTCAACTGCCAGGCCATTCCATGTGAAAAAATCCTTTTCACTCGACGCATGTGAAACATGTAGGATTGGGCAGGAGCCCTCCTTGAATCAGCGCTCTACGCTGTGATCCACTATGCGATGAGCGAATCGCCATAATAATTCTGGACAGTCTACGAGGCAAGGTGTTCGAGTTATCCAACATGCATAATGCCAAAACGAGATTCCGTACACTAGAACTGCCCACGCAGCCGAAGAACCAAAGGCAAGTTGAGGAGCAATGTTGTTGCAGACATCAAGTGCCTAGGCCCAGTTCTTTGGAATGTATGGGACAAATCCGCTGGCCACCGCGTTGGTGTATTCATATATACATATTTATATATATGTATATATATTCAAAAGTCAGGCTGTTGCTGCATCTGAACGTTCTCTTGGGTGAAAATCGACGCGGTAGGTGCAACGTTGTTTTGTAAGCTGCGGGGTGTGCCGGCTATTGCGTACCGTTTGTTTTTGATGTCGTGGGCGGAAACACATCATGTCTTCGCTCCAGATGCGGAATCTGGCGACAAGTTCCACTTCACTGTGAAGGCATATTTTCCTTTGCAGCGCTGTCTCACGGGATCGTCGTTTCGGAGTTTGCGGCGTCATGCAGAACATGCGGCGGGCCATCTTCAGCTGCTTGGCAAGACCGCAGGCGTGGCAAGCCGGAAATAAAGCCATTGCTAAACATTGCGATGCGCTGGATTGCGAGCTGAAGGCAATCCGTTGAAAATAGTTTACCACCTTCGACCTGTTCTTCCTCTCTCCCCCTTTCCTAGCCCAGTGTCTTGAGACTGTTTTGAGAGTGTCTTGAGTATGTTGGGAGACGAACAAACAACACAGCAGCCGTGAAACACTTGGCAAACGTCGCGCTCTCTCAAGACGTCAGTCCCGCCAGGCTTCGGAGGAAGATGCGAACAACGCAACGCAACTGATCACAACGCACCAACAACAACCGAACAAACAGCGGACGAACCGATCGTACGTAAGCAACGTACCTGGCCAAACCCTTCTCCGAACACACACGCACACACACACACCTATCACGCAACCTAACACGTAACGTCACGGACTTAACAAACAGCCTTATTGCCAGCCCTCAGGTTCGACAAACATTGCTGAAATAAGCAAGTGTTAACCAATCGGCAAAGCATGCCGAATCTGGCAATTCGTGTCGATAGTTTTGTGTTGTTGTCGAGCGGTATTTTGAGGGTTACGAGAGAAATTGGCGATTACGCTTCCCACATTCATTTGTCCTTCTCTCTCCTGTTCCATGTTGGCGGTGGAGTGAGCGAGTTGCACCTCGTCCGCAGTCGTCTCGCGCGTGCCAGCTTTGAGTATTGAGGACGTGGGCAGTGTCCACGACATGTTCCCCGCTGTCGTCTGGCTTCGACCTCCTGGGCAGAGTCAGTAGGCGGAGCCGTGCTCCAACAGAACCCAAGGGCTCCCCCGAGGGCGCGAAGTTATTCGCGGTTCGCGCTTCGCCGTCCTCGTTCCTTCTCCCCCTCCTCCTCGTCCTCCTATTCTCCCTTTGGGGGGCGGCGCGAGAGCGCGAAGTTATTCGCGCTTCGCGCTTCGCGGAGCGCGAAGCGCGAAGTTGGGAGCCCTAGCAGTAGGCGGAGCCGTGCTCCAACAGAACCGGTCTGGGGGGCGCACGTGGGCCTGTAGCCGGGGGCGGCGGCGCCGGGGACGGGGCGCCAGCCCTGCAGGCCGACGGGCTCGGACTGTCCAGGCTAAACGAGGAGGAGGAGGAGGAGGAGGAGGAGGAGGAGGAGGAGGAGGAGGAGGAGGAGGGGGAGGGGGAGGGGGAGGGGGGAGGGGGAGGGGGAGGGGGAGGGGGAGGCTGAAGACGTTCCTGGGGCCTCACGAATGCCCCTTAAGGGCTGTGGGGGACCTCTGGAGGCCTCCATGGTGCCTCTCTGGGCCGTCTTGGGGTCTTTTTGAAAGTCGTTCGGGCCGTCTTGGGTCTCTTGGGCCGTGTTGGGGCCTTGTTCGGGAGTTGGGGCCCTCTACGGGCCTTTTTGGAGCCATTTTGGGCCCTCCTGGGGACCTCCCATGGTCCTCGTGGGTTGCTCTTGGGAGCCTTTGGGGGCCTCGTGAGCTTCTTTTAGGCTGTCTTGGGGCTCTAGGGACCTTCTTGGCGCCCTTCTGGGACCATGTTGGAGGCCATCGGAGGGGGGGGGGGGGGGGGCTGATTTGCCTTGCCCCCCTGGGACCATCAATATCGCCTCATGGAGCCCTCTTGGAGCTTTCTTGGGCCATCTTTGGGCCCATCTTTAGGCATCGGAAGTGCATCGGAAACGAAAAGGCGAGACGGAAAGTATATGTGATTGTCGTTCGGTGTTTGAAGGATTGGGGCCTCTTCGGGAGGTCCTGAGGGGGGGGGGCGAGAGCACTTGGAGCCGTCTTGTGGCCCGCGTTGGGCCTCCTGGAGGTATGTCGCAAATTCATCTTCAACCATCTTGGGGCACGGGAGGCTTTCTTGGAGCACGGGAGGCTTTCTTGGAACACCTGGAGCCACCTCGGGCTCCCTGACCGGTCGCGGCCCCCAGCAAAAACCTCAAGGATGGGATGGGGACGGTATTTCTCCCCGAATGGAAGAGGGTATTTCGAAGAGGAAAGGAAGATATCGTTAGACCATTTTAGCCCGACGGGATGGTCGGATTTCCATGTTTGTCTTCGTTTCACACCTGTTTCCAGCAATCCGGCCTCCCCGGAGCCCAGAGCGTTTGGCGCACGTGCTTGACGGCAGGTTCGTTCGTTCGTTCGTTCCCTTCCATGCGCCCCTCCTCTCACCCCCCCCGCAAGCAGGCACGCCAGCGCACGCTGGAAGAGGCTCTCCGGTCAGAGCAGCAGGCGCGCGAATCACACTTGAGGAGCCCCATTGCTGCCCCACCCTGTCGGAGCAGTGGGATGTGGACCTCCACTTCTTCTTCCTCCTGCCTCCTTTCCTCTTCCTCCCTCGCTGTTGTTTTTGGCTTACTTCCTTTTTCTCCTTCTCCTCGTCCTCGTCCTCCTCTTCTAGCATTCGCCATGCAGACATTTCGTCTCCGATGGAGCTGACCTCGACCGCCCCCTCACCAGTCTGGGCGAGAGTGGTCCTTTATAGGTGCCTCCGAGGGTCCCACAGTTCCTTGCAGTTAGAGGTATTTCGTTGGATTTGGTCGACATTTGGACGGACTCTGGACGAAATCTGGACGAAAGTGTGGAGAGGGGTGGTCGAAATCTGAACGGACTCCAGTCGAAATCACTCTTCGTGATAGGGCCGAAAAAAAAAACTTTTCGTGATAGGGCCGCGGAGGTCCACAGAGGCTCACAGGGGGGTCCGATGCTGACGAGGGGGGCCGACCCCGCGCCAGGGGAGGGGGGGGGGCTTTCGGAAGCGACGGAGGACGCGGGGCGGAGACGGCACGGTGAGGAGCACGGGGGAGGAAACGGAGAGGGGAAGGGAGGAGAGGCGTGGACGACGGATAAGCAGGGCTCGTTTCGATTTTTCCGACTCGATTCGATTTCGATGTCGATTTGGAGTTTGGTTTCCCAACGGAGGCAATTGTTGATTGCCGATTTCCGCGGATTCGATTTCGATTTGGCTGCCGATCTCCGCCGATCTGACTCATTTCGATCGCCAATCCGACTTGTCGAGTCGAGTCTGGGCTCTCCAGGGGAAGGGAAAAGGGACCACCCAAGCCCGAAACGATTCCCAGAGCTTCATCCCAGGAGGGTAGCGAAGCATTTGAAGGGGAAGAGGGAAGAGGGGGGGGAGGAGAGCGGGGGGGGGGGATGCAGACAGAGGGGAGCTTTTTGAATTGCTTCCAGGACCAGGGGGGCCGTATAGTGGTGGCCGTCGTCCTCATTTTCGTCCTCCTTCTCCTCCTCGAGACTCGCGCTGCGGACTGTGTCACCACGAACGGTCGAAGCCCTCGCTTCCTCCTCCTCATCCTCCTCCTCTTCTCTTTCTCCTCCTGCGGGGGGCAACCGGAGAAGAACCACGAGAAGGACGATGAGGAGTGCGAGGGGGTTGATGGGGAGGACACGTGGGGGAAGGGGACAGACAGGAGAACAGAGACGACGAAGTCGTGCACACAGCCGGGGGGGTAGGAGGGATGGGGAGGAGGGGATGCGTATGAGGTGAGCTGAGCAGGGAAATAGAGAACAGATCGGGGAGCAGGAGTAGGGAGGTAAAGAGGAGGCGGAGGAGGAGGAGGAGGAGGAGGAGGAGGAGGAGGAGGAGGAGATGGAGTCATGAGCAGGGGAATGGGGAAAGAGGAGGGGGATAGGGGGAGAGGGAGGAAAGCGGGAGGAGGAGGACATGGGGGAGGGAGAGGCAGAACTGCTGGAGACAAGGAGGAGGGCCCAGGGGGGCCTGGAGTGGGTTTCGAGAGGGCGGGGGCAGGCTGCAGCTCCAATGTCCTGCCGCTGTGACGAAGGACGCCTGGAGGGCTCAGTCTCGATTCCCCCGGCGCGGTTCGATTCGATCTCGAGGTCTCCAGGGTCGAATTCGATTTCGGATTCCGATCCGGGTTTCGGTATCTGAGCGAAGGCCTGCAGCATTGATTGCAGCGTATCGACGATGAAACACACATGGAGAATAAACACCGACTTAGACGCTCTGTCCAACAACGCCCAACAACGGAAAGCTGCAAGCCAGTGCAGGAAACAGTGGGGCGAAGAGTATTCGACAAAGTCGATGTGCCCGTGCGGGCGCAGAAGTAATTCAGCGAGCAGTTTGTAAAGGCATGGGGAAAGCAGTACCATAACCATAGTCACCTTAGACATCACGACATCATTCTTCCCCCTCCCCCTCCCACCCTGCTGCCACGTGCGACGTGGGTGCCCAGATGCGGCCGCAACGGCCTCGGATGCGATTGCTCGACGAAATCTGTTCTACAGAGCGAAGTTGCCATACAGATGGAGACTGGAAAACGCTTGCCTACGATGACGAGCTGTCGAGGAATATGGAATCCGTGTACGTTCACAGATCCGACGGCGGCGGCCCAGCGCACCCGCTGCTCCCTACACGGGACGTCCTCTGGGCCATATCGGCGCCGCTCCGCTCCGCTCCCCTTCCTCCGCCTCAAGCTCCTCCGCCTCGCCCGCCTCGCTGGGGACCTTGAGGTCCTCCCCGATTGATCACCTCGCAGGCCGAATCGTGCTAGAGTCAACCCGCATATTAAGGATGGGCAATTTTCCAATGTTGCCGTTGCCTCCTTCCCCTCCGGCCCATCCTTGGCCGCTTTCGCTGGCCGCGCCCCGCCAACAAAGCGTCGACATGGCCTTCCCAGGCCCTTGTTTCCTTATCGCGCGTCCTTGTTGTAGGGGTTGACTGTATGCACGGAGAGGCGCCGCAAGCCGAGCCGCGCATCGTGCGCGCAGATGCCCCTGTATTTTTTTGGCGTCGTGAAGGCACGCCCGTCGGTGCCCACGGCGAGACGCTCGCCACCGGTGGCGAGGATGTCGGCTGTCGATTCCCAGGAAAATATGGGAAAATATGGGAATTGGGGGGGAAGACAAAAACCCAGAAAATGTGGGAAAATATGGGGGCTATTTTTATTTGTGTGTATTTATTTGTGTGTCCTAATTTCCCTTTAGTGTAGCCCGCGGCACCTGCCCGCCCCCGCGTCCCGCGCGCCCCGCCGCCCGACGCGCCGTGAGGAGCGTCTCTGCCGAGCTGCGGGCCACCGTGGACGAGCTGGTGCAGCGGGTCGACCGGGGCCTGTGCGCGGGGGTGGCGACCAGTTGGGCCTCGCAAATGCGGTCCGAGTGCCGTCGGACCGAGGCATAAGATCGAGGTCGGCTCGGAGAGGGTGCCTTCATGTTCTTCGTGCCTGTTGGGTTCTCGTGTGCACCCCGGGGAAAGTGCCCTTGAATGCCCTGCACGTTTTGGCAGGCGGAGGGGCTCGTGCTCTTGAGGGACGGTGTTCTGTCTTGGGTTCGATCGTAGGTGGGTTCGATGTCCCTTCATGTGAGCCCGGGGTGGCGACACTGAGACCAGCTTTTCCAGCATCGGGACCGCGCTTGGACTGCCTTGGGCCCTTCCTCATGCCGCGCTTCCTGTTCCTCCTCCCCCTTCGCGTTCTTCTAGTCTCCCTTATCTGGTCCGAATATGGTCCCACATGTGCTCCAACTCTGGTCCAAATCAGGTCCAAATCGGACGGCGGCGCTGGGGCCACGTGGGCTCCGAGGAACAGGCACCAAATGTGGGTGGGGTCGGAGGAGCGCGCCGCATCTCCGATGCATCGGCGATGCGGCTCAATGTGGAGCCCCGTTTCTCCACGTCGACGCCGCCGATGCATCGCCGCTGTCGACGTCGGTCCATCTGCTCGGACCCTATTTGCGAGGCTTCTACATGCGTGAGCGGACGGACCAGGCCCAGCCGCGCGCAGAAGGGGGGGCAGGGGCGAGGGGGCGGCCAAAAGAGGGGTGTGATGAGCAGGCCTGGGAGCCTCCGCTGCATCTTCGCCACAGGATTCCATTCGATCATTGATTGCATCGATGCTTCTTATTCTTCGTTCATGCCTGGCGCACACATAGTAATGAGGTAATATGATTGTGGTCGAATAGGCAGTGACATTGCGTATGCAGTTTAGTCTGAACAGTTTCGTGTTGGAGCGATCCAAGGGGGGCAGATCATCAGGCAGTGCGTTTGAAGGCCCTTTGCCCTCTTCGAAGGACGCCCCCGGTCGTCATCGTCGTTCGTTTCTTCCCCCGTCGCCATCCTCGACGACCCCCCCCTATCGTCGTCGTAGTCCTCCTTCTCCCCCCTCCTGGACCGTTGTTGTCGTCGTTACTCCCCCCAGGGAGGCCCACGAGAGCGCTTTCAAAGAACGACGACGGCGGCGACGAAGACGACGGCGACGAAGACGGCGACGGCGAGAGCGGCGACGACGACGACGTCGACGACGACGACGATGGCGACGGCGACGGCGACGACGACGACGACGTCGGCGACGACGACCACGATAGCGACGATGACGACGACGAAGACGATGACGACGATGACGACGACGATGACGACGGCGACGACGGCGGCGACGACGACTACGATGGGGACCGCGACGACGACGACGACGATGGCGACGCCGACGACGGTGGCGACGGCGACAACCACGACGACGACGACGACGACGACGACGATGGCGACGATGGCGGCGGCGACGACGACGGCGGCGACGACAACGACGACGACGACGACGACGACGACGACGACGACGACGACGACGACGGCGGCGGCGGCGGCGACAGCGGCGACGAGGACGGCGGCGACGACGACGATTGTGATGGCGACGACGGCGACGTCGACCACGACGTGACGACGATGACGACGGCGACGACGACGACGACGATGGCAGTGGCGACGACGACGACGACAACGACGACGATGGCGACGGCGACGGCGACGACGACGACGGCAACGGCGGCGACGACGACGACATCGATGGCGACGACGGCGACGCCGACGACGACGACGACGACGGCGACGACGACGGCGGCGACGACGACATCGACACCGATGACGATGACGGCGACGACGACGACGACAATGGCGCCGACGAAGACGACGACGACGGTGGCGGTGGCGGCGACGACGACGGTGATGACGATGGCGACGATGGCGACGACGACGACGACGACGACGAAGACGACGACGGCGGCGGCGGCGACGACGGCGACGACGACGACGCTGGCGACGACGACGGCGGCGGCGACGACGACGACAACGATAGCGACGACGACGACGATGACGACGACGACGACGGCGCACGGCATCGCTGGGCAGGCAGAGGTCAAGTTGCGCTCGCTGCTCCAGCGTGTGGACGAGGCGGGAGGGCGCCTGACCATATGCTTCGCCTGCAAGGATCGCAGGAGTTGCCATCTCTTCCTCGGCGGTAGGTCGGCGGAAGTCAGCCGAAGTAAGAGGGAGGCGGCTCCGCCGGCGGAAGCTGGCGGAAGGCTAGCGGAAGTTGGCGGAAGTCAAAGTCGGCCTCCCAAGAGATGGCATAATTTTTGGGTTCAGGGTTTCGAGAGTCGGCCATATACGCTCGCACCCGGCGTGATGCCAGAACTGCCCGCGTCGCAGAAGCTTCACGGCGGGAGGTTTTGTCCGTTCTCGGCCGGGGCCTTGGCCGGCCCCCGGGGCCGTGGAAGAGCGGCTCGTGGTGAAAAACCGGATCCGGGGGAGGAGTCGGGACTTTCATCGCACGTCTCAGGATGTCCGAGGCCTGTAGAGGTTAGCACCAACGCCATTATGGGCGGCTTGCCTCCACCGAGGGAAGGTGATCCCGATCTCGATGATGGCGGTGATATTCAGGCTTCCAGGCAGCGGGAAGATGACCACCAACACCAAAACCTAGGATCATTCCCCCCTGGCGAACGCACCGCCCTGTTGTGGTATTGGTGCTCATTTCCAAGCCTCCAAAGCTGTTCTGGCGCCGCGCACACACACACACTGGACCCTGTGTCGAGGAGGGGCCAGGGCCAGCGCCAGTGCCTGTGCCATGCCCAAGCAGCCGGCGTCGCTTCTTTTTCCAGGCACGGGCCCCTGGACTTCTCGACCACACCTCCGTGTTCCCAGTTCCCCCCCCGCGCCGTTCTTTGACGGCCCCGAGGCCTGGTCAGGGCTCCTATAGTGGCCGAAAACAGCGAACGACCTACCTTTAGACCCGACGGCGCGAACAAAAATACAACATCGCAGAATATCGCCACCGGAGCCCCGGACCCCATCGTCATGCTTCAAGCCGGTTCGAGAGGGCCCCAGGCCCCAAGACTGGGCGAACACGCCCGTCGTGAGAAAATAGCGGCGCCAGGATCTGAGGGTCAGCACCGCTTAACCGACCATCCCCATCCAGACCCCCACCATACGCCTCGAAGCCCACAGGAATAGCTGGCTCTGTCCCCATCTGGGGGGGGTAATTAGACCGGCCGGCGGGGCCCAGGCCACGCCCGTGTGGAGGAGGGGTCGGCGAAACGAAGCTCACCGAGGGAGGGCTCTCGCCTCGATTCGTACACGACGCCGGCTGCTGGGGCTGCCACGAGGGCCTCGCCGCCAGCGCCAGCGGGCTCGCGGGCGCCATCAGCGGCGGCGCCCTGGGCCCCGGCAGCCCGCGCGCGGGCGGGGCGCCGCCCGCGGCGCCCGCCGCGCGCCGGCCGCGGTCCCCCGCCCGGGCTTTGGCTGCGCGCGGGCAGTCCCCGGAGCTCTGGCTGCGGGCAAGGTTTGGGCGTTGCGTAATGGGGGGGTCATAAATGGGGGGGTGGCGAGGGTGGTTCGAAAAGGTACCCAAACGGTACCTAAACGAGCCCCCTGGGGCTCCGGAGGGGCCCCAAAGGGGCACGAAAGGGGACCGTTTCTGACCCCTCCATTTGTGACCCCCCCATTAAGCCACGCCCAAAAGGTGTACCCTCGGTTCGCCATTTTTCAGCGCAGGCGGCTTCGCCGGGGTTTGGGCACAGGAGGCTTCACAGCTCGATCGGGCTCGAGAATTGACGCAGGAGGATGGGGTCCAGGGCTCCGGCCGTGATTTTCTGTGCTGGTGTATCTGTTCGAGACGGAGGTTTTTTTTCATGTGGGCTTCTCGGGGCCCTTACTGGGCGGCAGGACCATCAAACAATGATCCGGGATGAGAAACATTTCCCGGGAATGGGGCGAAACCGTTTTGGCTCGCGACGTGTAAAGAACAACGTGGCGTTGGGTCTGGGCATATCCAGACACCCGAGGCGCAGTGGATATGGAGAAGGATCTGGCCCCTATAGAGGCTAGATGTGTCTCAGAAGTCCCACCCGCAGTGGTTAGCTATGGACTTATCCTCCTCCTCCTCCTCCTCCTCCTCCTCCTCCTCCTCCTTAATAAGCCTTGCTCGCACTGACGAGGAAACGGTGCCGATACCGCCACCCCCTTGCCTCGTGCTCCCCCTCCTGGGGCCTCCGGGGACGCCTCGTCGCCACCGCTGGGTCCGCCTCGAGATTCTGGTCAGATCGGGTCGGGCGAAAGGGGGGGATTGGGAAAGGGGGGGTTACGAAATTTGCTGCATGCAGCTGGTTTCGGCCTCACCGAGGGGCCCATTCCTCGATACATGGCCGCCTCCGGCGCCGGGAGGCGCCGTGAAAATCAGCTACGTGAGCTGATTCTCAACCCCCCCCTTTGCTATCCCCTCCTTTCGCCCGACCCGATCAGAGCGCACCCGGGAGAGGAGATTTTGGGGAGCGGCGGTATCGGCACCTCTCGGAGACTGTCTTTTTTAGGGTCCGGCGGTCACCCAGGTTATCGGGCTCCCCCCCCCCCCCCTCCCAGGATAATCTGACCTAGCCGGTTGTGCAGGTCCGGGGGGGGGGGGCAGGAGCTCGCAGGGAACGCTGTATGCAACGGTACGCTGGTGTTCGCCACAGCATGCTGGTGTTTGGATGCACGTTGGCGAATCGTTGGGGCTTGGAGTGTCACGGGGGGACGACGACAGACGACAGACGACGTCAGACGACGACAGACGACGATGACGACGACGACGACGACGACGACGACGACGACGACGACGACGACGACGACGACGACGACGACGGAGGACCGACGACCGACGACCGAGGACCGACGTCGTCCATAGGCACTTGGAGGTGCACGTGAGAAGCGCGTACATAGGCTTTGCGTTGTGCACAGGCAGCGAGTCGATTTGGTGCGCACGCGTGCAGTTGTTGCAGCAAGGTCTGTTGTGTACGCAGGCGTTGTGGTGCACGCAAGCATAAGTACACGCAGGTCGTGCGGTGCAAGCGGGCATAGTGATGCACCGGGAAATATGGTGAAGACAGGCTTTGTGGTGTGCACAATTGTCCTGCAACATCAGTTACCATTCACGCAGACATCCCAGGCATGGTGATGTACAGAACCACTTTGGTGTACGGTCATTGCGGTGTAGCTCACCTTGTGGTGTACACAGGCGCTGCGGTGTACACATCCGCTGCTTTGCACACTGTTGCTATGGTGTACACAGGCGTTAAGGGCCCAAAAGACGGGACTGTTCCTTCCGAAATTCAAATCAATACCTGCAAATAGCTTACATATTAGATTTGATACGTTCGCGGGGGACTTTCTGGAGTTCGGTCCCGACGGGGGCCCTGGAAGTGCACGCAGTTTTACGGTATATACGAGCATTTTGGTGCACTGGAGCTGTGGTGCACGAGTATGGTGCTGAAGCAGCAAACGTGGTGCACATAGGCGTCGCCGTGTATTCTGGCAGTGTGTGTTGTGTGTACACAGCCGCTGCGGTGCTCACGGCTGATGTAGTGTACACAGGCATCGTGGTTTACACAGACATTCTTGTGTGGACGGGCGCTACGGTGTACACAAGCAGCTGTGGTGTGCAAGGGCGTCGTGGCGCACGCTAGACAGGCGATGTGGTGTACACAGGCATGGTCGGCCAAAAACGGGGGTACCGCACCCCAGGCCAGAAAAGTCAATAATCACAATTTAACTTATATTCAATTTGATACGTTCGGGCCGGGCCCCCGGGGATTTTCCAGATTTCGGCGTCGGCGGGACCTTGGAGGTGCACGGAAGCGCTGTGGCGCAAATGTTCGCCATGCGCTGTGGTGCACGCGGAAGCCTTTGCTGCAGCAACACGCGTGGTGTGCGAGACCGTTGCGGCGCACGCATGTTTTGTAGTGTTCACAGGCAGTGTGGTATACGCGTGTTCTACAGATAGTGTACACAAGACTTCACGGCTACGCTTAGCAATCACATCCCGCGCATTCCAATGCGATTTGTCCAGATATTCCTAGGCATTCTCAGACTGCGCCCGCATCGTCCCAGCACCAATAGTAGCATCGCGGCAGCATCGTTAGCAGCTGTAGGGGCCGCAGCACCTGTGCGCGCGGGCATACGCAGGACTGCCCAAAGCGCGAAGGTTACGTTATCGGCCGGTCCCCTCCCCCCCTCCCCGGATAACCCGCTTGGTTATCGCCGAATGGAAAGAATATTAAACAAAACGGTCTTTTGGTCTCTCCAGGAGCGGTTCTCGGCGCCGTGCACCGAGAACGCCGCGGCGCGGCTGGCCGCCTGCCCGGCCAGGGCGGTCCTCCTGGGCGGGGGTCTCCCTGAGATCTTTCCGCCACGCGCAGGGAGGTGGGAGTCGGGCGGGGCTAGGACGAGGATCGATCCGTTCCACAGCGTTCCGGAACGCTCTGAGAAGGTCGCGGCGCCCAAAACAGGTCCAGAACCGCCGGAACTCAGAGATTCTCGATTTATCCTCGCCCAATTTGGTCCTCGTCTTGGCTTCGTCTTGTGGGGGGAGGGGAGGGCTTCTCAGAAGCAGCCCCGCTTCTTAGAAGGCGCGGGCCATCTGTATAGATGTGGGGCGGGCGCCTTCTCATGAGCAGCCTCCTCCCGAGAAGCCTTCCCCGCTCCCGCCAGCCCCTTGCGTGCGCGCCGCCAAATCTCAGGAGGGGAAGAAACACACAGACACAATCATTCGTCGATCCCCAGAAAATATGGGAAAATATGGGAAGCGGGAGGGCAGACAGAAACCCAGAAAAAATATGGGAGAATATGGGGGATCCTCTTACTTGTGTGTATTTATGTGTGTGTCCTGGGGCTCCTTCAAGATCCAGGCGCTCCACTTTTTTTCTCGAGTGGGGAGGTGTCGCCTGATCGGTCGGGCCCCGGGGCCCTCCCAGATGGATATGCGGCCAGAGCAATGACTTTTATACGATATAGGGTCCAGGAGGAGGAGGAGGAGGAGGAGGAGGAGGAGGAGGAGGAGGAGGAGGAGGAGGAGGAGGAGGAGGAGGAGGAGGAGGAGGAGGAGGAGGAGGAGGAGGAGGAGGAGGGGGAGGAGGAGGAGGAGGAGGAGGAGGAGGAGGAGGAGGAACAATGACTTAAGATATAGGGTCCAGGGCTCCAGCTGTGATTGTCCACGGTGTTACCATGGGCTCGCGTGGTCGCGGCGGATCTCAGGGCTATGCGTGGTCGAAGTGGTTCTGGAGAGAGCCTCCGACACCCAGCGCCCAAATCGAGGCAGAGGTCGCTCCTCGTTTTCGGCCTCTGCGGCCCTCGCCGGGCCTCGGGGCCGTCAGAGTACGGTTCGGGACGGAGAGCCGGTCCCGGGGAGGTGGTCTATAGTGGTCGTGGGCCCGTGTCTCGAACAAATTTTGACACCGTATGTTTCGGGCGAAGAGAACTATGCACATGCACCGATCCTGGCAAGGCCCACCCTTGACCCAGGATCGGTGCATATGCCTTCCTGGCCAAGGCAGGAGGGCGTATGCACCGATCCTGGGCTCAGGATGGGCCTGGCCAGGATCGGTGTATGTGCATAGTTCTTTTTCCTCTAATGTTCGGGGGGGGGTATGGAGATAACGGTGACGAAGACCAACAACAGGTCTCGCTGTCGATGTCGCCGCGGACGTGATCACCTTGAGGCAAGAACTCGCCTGCCCAACAGTGGCCGCGCTGGTTTGGGACAACAGTTGCGGGTTGGCATCGTTCTCTGTCTCCCTTGTTCAACGTGGGTGGTGCAGTTTTGGGCCTCAACATACGTTTTGCTGGCGTTCGTCTCTGAGGAATATTTCGTGCTGGCCCTCGCGACATGCAAGCTTAGTGTTCGCCGGCGCTTATGAGTACATATTACTCGTAAGGTTAATTGCGTACATGTGCATCATACACGTGTTCGTCCACTCTGCATCAACCGCACTCGCGCATTGCACATGCCCCGCGCTAGCTGCCTGCGGCAAGTCCTGCCACTGTGCCAGCTCAGCAATATCGGTGGCAGCAGCGCGAACCGATGATGATGATGATGATGATCATGACGACGATGGTCATAATGATGATGATGATGATGATGATGATGATGATGATGATGATGATGATGATGATGATGATGATGATGATGATGATGATGATGACCGACGATGATGATCATGGGATTATGAGGGTGATTGGGAGGACAATGAGGATGATGATGAGGATTGGCGGTCGGGGGGCGTGAATTACATGATTACGGCGATGATGATGATGATGATGATGCTGATGAGTACGGTGATGATGTTGATGATGTTGATGATGATGAGGAGGATGATGAGGATGATGATGACAGTGATGATGATGGTGCTGATGATGATGCTGATGATGATGATGATGATGATGATGATGATGATGATGAGGAGGAGGATAACGACGGCGACACAGAGGAAGGCCGTCACATTTGACACCTTACGTCTTCACTTCTGGAGGGGACGCATGGACCTCCTTGCCCTCTTTTGGTGTGTCTTTGGGCTGTTCTGAGCTCCTGAGAGGCAGTATTGGGGGTCCCTCGGGCGCTCTTAGGCCGTCTTGCGGCCCTCTTTGGCTGTCTTGGGGCTCCCTGGGGCCTGCGTGCCGTCCTGGGCTGTTCAGGGGTCATCTTAAGCAGTTTTGGGTCTCTACGGAGGCGCTTTAGGGCCAATTTGAAGCCCTCGTGACCGTCCTTGGTTCTCCATGGGCCATCGACACCATCATGATGCTCATCATAACGAGCAGCGGCCTTCAAACGCTGCATAACTATGCCGCCAGACCTTTGGCATCGTATTTGTCGCCGGCGCGAGAATCTGGCCCTGACATAGTTATCGCCCGCGTGGCGCCCCCCCCCCCCACGACGTCTGGCCCCCGCGCTTAATAAGGGAAATGGAGTACCCATCTCGGTCGTGCCAAGGGAGGCGCGCACCGGCGCCGTCGCGCTCGCTTCCCTCGTTCTCGCCCTTGTGGGTCTCCATGCGGGGTTCTCGCCGCCACGGCCAAAGTCGCCTCGGGATCCTGGTCGGGGCGCGTCCCCGGGAGATGACCTCAGTGAGTCGCGGTAATTACCGGCGTTGTTGCCACCAGGTCGGGGAGGGTCCGATGATGTCGAACCCGGACCAGCTCATCCACGACTGGGACGAGCTTCGCCAGGAGATCTCTTGAGAGGGATTGTTTGATTACAGATCCAGGCGATCCGCAGGCATCTCTCGTGCGATCGATCTTCATGCGTGTGGCACCCCTGCTCGGCAGTGGCCCTGTATACACCCGAATCTGGTCCCCAACGAGGCGACCTAGAGGCACGGGGTCGACTGTGCGGACCTTCGCGTGAGCGCCCCCTTCTCCGCGCGGTCTGCCGCATGAGCCGCGCAAGGTCGCCACGCCCCTTCGCAAAGTGGCGTTGTTCCCAGGCGGCCGATGGATCGAGCTCTTCCATCCGCGGGGCCCGGTGGTCTCGCTTCCCTTTCCGGGGAAGTTTTCCGTCCGTGGTCCTTCCTCCCGCGGTTCTGGGCATCGAAGGCGCCCCCCCCTCGTCGGCCGATCCAGATGGGGAGGGAAGATGTCGGGATTGAGCAACATCTGCTCGCCCGAAGCTTGGGTCTTCAAAAGGGTACGCCTGCACCGATCCCAGCAGGGCGGTGCAGAAAACGGGGTCGTCTGCGCCGACATTCGCACGCGAGCTTCCCGCGTGAGGTCGCGCGCACGCGCCCCCGTCTCCAATGTAACGTGCCGCGCCGGCTGCCCGCGCAAGGCGTGAGGTCGCTGCGTCATCTCGCGTAAGACCGCTCTTTTTCGTCGCTCAGGTGCTGTTCTGGCCCAGCCGGGGGGGCGTACACACCGATCCCAGGCCCAGGAAGGGGGCCCGACCAGCGTTCGGGTACGCGTGACGCTTCGCCAGGGTGGCTTCTGGCGAGCAGTTTTGCGCAGCCCCCGCCCCCTCCCCAAGACCAGCCATGAAAGGACGGCCTTTTGCCCAGACCCCACTGGAACCCTCCCAGACCGCTCAAATCAGACCCCCTCAAAATGTGCCCCCCCCTCCCCCCCCCACTCTATCACGAAATGTGGAGTACCCCTGGGTCATGAGCTTAGCGACCCATGCCTCCTACATGCCTGAGGCAATGTGGCTCTCGGAAGGGCCTTGTGTCCTCTCGCGTGTGGCCTCCAACCGAACTCGGCTGTAGGCCGCGCTCACCCTTACGATGATGTAATTCCTGGGAGGTGAAATGCTGAATTGGCGCTGGAATATCCCTGGCCGAACACTGGCCTAATCTGGCTCAGTCCCGCTCAGTCTAGCTGGCTTAATACCGCCTAATCCCGCTTAATCTGGCTTAGTCCCCAGGCGCCATCCAGCCTGATCCGGTTCAATGGCCTCTTGAGCGGGCTTCATGGCCCTCAATCTTGTCTGATGTACCCGAACCCAGCAATCCCAGGCAGGCAGCACGAGACCCTGAGGGAACAGGCGACGGGCAGAAGAGGGAGGCAAGGAGGAGGAGGGGAATGGGGCAGGGGGGCCTGGGGGCAGGGAGGGGGGAGGAGGGAGAGGGAGGAGGGCAGCCAGCAGGCGCGCGACGACGGAGGAGGCGAGCGGGACGAGAGGGGAGCGGGGCCCGCCCCCCTCCCCGCGAGGAGAACCTGCGGCTGCGCGAGCTGCGGGCCCAGCAGCTGCGCGCCGCCGCCGCCCCGGGGGGAGAGCCGCCACGCGGCGCCGCGACCCCGCAGGGCGCCCCGGGCCCGGCGGCCGGGGAGGGGCTGACCCCGCTGGTCACGCCCTGCCTCGCGCAGCCCTCGACGCTGCAGGTCGGGCGGCGGCAAAGTATAGGTCGCGCAGCGCATGCGCCCCGCCCCGTGCGGGTCGGGGCGAGGGGGGGCGGGCGCGCGCACGGGCGGGTCTCGCACGGGGCCGGGACGAGGAGAAGAGCGTTCCAGGACGTTCCGCACCGCTCTCAGGGCGTTCCAGAACGCTCTGAGAAGGCGGTGGCGTCCGAGACATCCTCCAGAGGCGCCGGATCCCAGAGTCTCTCTCTCTCTCTCTCGATTTATCCTCACACGATTTTATCTTCGCCTTGGCTTCGTCTTAGGGACGCGTGGTGTGTCACGGGATCGGTCGCGGGAGGGACGCGGGTGGGCCGCGGGGTGGTTCGCTGGGCGGGCTCGGGTGGGTCGCAGGTGGGTTGCCGGGGGGGACAACAACAGCACGCAGAACTTGGGCCACAAAATCCCGTTTCAGCCACGCACCCAGGGATGGTGTAAGACCGGTCCCCCTCATCCTCACGTGTACACCTACGTGATACCCATGGCCCGTTGGAGGCTCGTTATTTGTCGGATACCCAGGCTTCAACCTATTTTGGGCGTCTTTGTCAAGGATCGAGTGGTCTTCCCCTCCGAACAGCGCCGGGTGCGGTACACTCACCCTGGCCAGGCCCATCCTGGGCAGAGGGATGGTGCGCCCGCCGCCCTGGCCAGGCCAGGAGCGCACACACACATATATATAGAGAGAGAGAGAGAGAGAGGGCATGTGCACCGACCCTGGGGCCCAGGGGCCGGTCTGGCCCAGGGGCCAGACCACACAGACCAACGACGGTCTGGGCGAGACCAGCCCCGCCGCGGGCCAGGAGGCCCACGGTCGGTCCGGCCCAGACCAGCGCCGTGTTGCACGGCTGTCGTCGTCCCGCAGGTGCCGGGGAGCGGCCTCGCAGCGAGGCCACGAGGCGTGCCCCGCCTGCTCTGCTCCCCCCACCCCGAGGCCTGACGTACCCGCTGTCCAGACGCTTTGGCCCCGACCCCACGGGTACACGCGGCTTTGCGCGGATGCCCCTGCACAGAACGTATCCATAGGCCTGCGCATCCACGGGATAGTATTTCGGTCTTGAGGCCGCGATGCATATGGATAGCTACGTGCGTTGCTCGTGACATCGCTCTGGCTCCCCCCACCCCCAGACCTCCTGCGCCACGAAAACTGATCGAGACGGCTGGATGTTCCTCAGCTTCGGGTTCGGAGGCCCGGTTCGGTCTCTTGGACCGTACAAACCGCGATCAACAACTTGAACGTTGGGACGGGGTTCTGAGCTTTGGGGGCCCACCCGACGAAAAATCGTGGCGTCGGGTGTCTGGGTCATCCACCTGGCTCCTTGCTGCTACCATTCAATTTCCTCTTCCGAGACGTGGGCCCCTCCAGATCTCAATCTTTCGGCCGGGTCAGTTTAGTTTCGCCGACTCGAATCGTTTTGCACCGAAGTACGTTGCTTGCTTTGAAAGCATGCTGACACCTCCCACCGCTCACACACAGCTGGAGTTGGCCCAGCGCGTTGACAAGCATAGACACGCACACGCGCACAAACCAAATCCTGACAGGGTCGGGCTCTGGTGGTTGCATTGGACCTGTGCATGTCCGTGTCTGCTGGCTGGACTTGAGTCCCAGGTTCGCTTCCAGCTCGCTCATCTGTGTGTCCCCTCCCTCGCTCACCCCTATTCCTCTCTTTTCCTCAGGTCCAGCCTGTCTCCAGTGCTGCCCATACGTATCCTCCAGCCTCGGGCTCGGCACCTCCTTCCCCGAGCGTGCTGCCCGGTGCCATCCGTGTGTTGCTGCTTCTCTTCGCTGACTCCACCGCATGATGCGTGCTGCTCTTGCCGCTCGTCTCCTCCCAGAGGTCTGATGCCGTGCTTGTTCAATACTTCCCAGGGCAGGCTTCTCGTAAGCAGTCGTTTCTTGACGGTCCCGGGGCCCGGTGAGGGCCCCTGCCATGGAGGTTGCCAGAGACCTCCCTCCTGTCTCGATGCGTTGGACCTCTGCGCCTGCCGCTGCGCGAGGCGCCGCGGTGGCCCCCTACGCCGTGGGGCCGCCGTGCGGGCACGACCCGTTTGGGCTTCGGCGCAGCACCGACGACGCGGCCCTGCGGCCCCGCCAGGCAGGAGCCGCGGCCCTCCCGAGCTGAGCCCCGCGCGGCTCCCGGGCCCGTCTCGCGGCGCGCTGCTCCTCGGAGGCCGGCCTGCCCCTGCACCAGCGGGTGCAACGGAGGGACGCACCCTGGGGAGACTTGGCATCGCTCGGACGTGTGCACTGGTCCTCGGCGAGGACCATCGAGCAGCGTTTGCGCTCACCGTGCGAAGAATTACACCAGAGGAAGAAACCGAATCAGTGGATGGTTTGAAGTGGGGTCGGGATTGAGATCGATAAGGAGATCGACCGGGAACCCGGGAACCTGGGAACCCAGAACCCACCGAAATCGGCCCGGAACCAATGACCAGGAACCCGGGGATCCGGAACGGGGAACCCGGAAACCCAGCCGGTTGCCAAAATCGGCGGGAAATGTTCGCCAAATCTTGAAATATCCGCCAGGGCCCCTTCAGTGCAAACATTGATTGGGGAAGTACATGTACGAAACCGATAAATGCACAAGGAATGGACGTCCGAGCGATGGCGAGAGGAGGGGCCATAGGTCGAGCAGAACGATCCCACCCGTTCGGTATGTTTTCCTTCAGTGGGCCACCAGCGACGCTGGGCAATACATACCGCGTTGGTCGTACGGGTGTGTGTTTGTGTGTTCACCAAACATGGTGCTTGCACACCCTTGCCTTCCGCAGGGGGAGACCGGGGAGGGGATCGAGGATGTCCAGCGAACGGTGTGTCGTCGTTGCGATTGTCAGCGGCCCCTCTCTTCTCACGACTGCGTGAGGCGTTTAGGTGACAAGGGCACTCAGGGAAAGTGGATAGGGTGGCGCAAGTGGGTGGCGAGCGCGGTTCGCCATCCACTGTTCTTGACCGACGGGGAGGCGGCGGCGCCGGTGGCGAGGGCGAGGCAGTGAGGGGGGCGAGCTGATGGCCAAGGAGGCCGAGGAGCTGAAGGCGATGTGCCGGGCGGGGGGCTCCCGCCCTCGGGCGTTCGCCCCCCGCCCGCCGCCCTTTCCTGAGATCCTGCGGGCGCCTCGCCCCGACACGCGATCGCCCCGTCCTGTCGTGCGAACGCACCGTCGTGCGAGCGCTCCGTCTTGTGGCGAGCGCCCCGGCAAGTGCGGGTAAGGAAATTGCAGCCGACGCGCGTGTCCCGAGCCGCGTATGCAACATCCAAGGAGTTCGATGTCTGGACTAAAAGGTCTGCCACCAGTCGTGCCACGTCCCCATGGGCCCCATGGACGCTGGGGAGGGGTGACAGGGCGGTCGCAATCGGGCATGCGAATCATCCCGCCAGTGCTCCTAGAACAGTTCTTGATATTTGGAATCCTGGTCGAAAGTGCTGATACAAGGACGCTACGTCGTCGTCCGCTTTGTCGTCGTCGTTGTCGTCGTCCTCGGTTCACTCGCCCCTTCACCATAGCGCTTCTCTTGCTATGCTCATCATGAAACCGAATGATTTCCTCCAAGCCTCTCTCCACCTCCTCAGCTTTTCCTTTTTCTGCCTATTGTCGTCGCCATTATCCGCCACTCTTCTTCGTCGTCGTTCTCGTTGTCCTTCTCCTTCACTCCCTCCCATCCCTCATGCTTCCCGAGCTCTTCCACCGCACCATTCTTGGACGTAGGATCGTCTTCCTTTGCCCTCCCACATTTCGATCCCCCAGTTTGCTTTGCCGCGCTTCGAGACATATCCACAGACGGTAAACGTTCCAGTCCCGTTGCGTTTGTGGCAGAGCTGCTCGTGTGCTGCAGGTTTGTACGCGATTTGGGGCTGTTCGGTCGAAGACCCGAGCCCTGAAGCTGGCCTGCCTGCCGCTGTTCAGTCTCGTGTTCATGTACACCTCAGGCGATGCTTAAGAAAACCTAAGTTTTCGGCCAGAGTCTCGATTATTCTTAATGTTTCAATGTAAACCCCAAGAGTTTGATAGAAATGCTGGGTTTTCATTCAAGTTCTGAGACTATGAATTTCTTAACCCATGATTTCTTAAGCATTTCGCACGGTGTACATGTCCTGCGATGCTGGTGAGCCGGAGAGCCTGCTCTGCATTGTTTGCTCTGGCTCGTCGCTGTGTGGTCCTCCACGGCTGCGTGAGCCGGACGGTGTCCACTAGGTACGCGCGAGCGGCGCGGCTGCAAAGAAGTCTGCGGAGCGGCGCGGTCGAAAAGGCCCCCGCTCTTCCCCACAGTCAGCCTGTTTCCTCGGGTATTACGGTATTACGCTTGGTGGGTAGACACGGGGAACGGTGTTGCACTGCCTGAAAATCTCTGGCGAAATCGCAGTAGTCCATGTGTTCAAGTGTCCGAGCTTGTCGCAGCCTACCGCAGTCTGCATGAGAATGATGCCAGCAGTTCCCGCGCAGCAGCCAAATTGCAGGAGCGCCTCCTTCGGGAGTTGCCTGCGGCATCTTCATGTTGCGATGGACTCCCTGTCATTCCCCAGGATGCGCCACATGACTACATGCCGCTCCACAATGCAGTGCATGTCAGATCTACCGTGGCGCTCTTGCTTCTGTGCACACCCGCTTGTTCTCTCGTCGTCGGGCCCAGACCTCCGATGTATGGCTTCCTCAATGCGCGGTCCCTGGAGCTCTCGGCCCATTCCTGGGCACAGGGTTCTGTTCCGAGCCGTCTTCGACAGCCCTGGCGTCCCGGAGACGGCCCCGAGACTTCAAAAATGGGGAGCACAGCCCAGACATCCATCCAGCGTTTCGATTTTTTCGAGATGGGCCCAGGACCTCTTGACCACTCAATTGGGACGGGTGTTTCATCCCGATTCGTTTTTGACGGTTCCGAGACCCGGCAAGGGCCCCGACAGGCCGAGATCATGCACAACCCCCCGCCCGCTTTTTCCAGACGCCTGATGTCTGGGAGTGTTGTCTCCGTTTTTCAAAGCGCAGGAGCCCTGGCCGGACCCGCCCCTGGCGTGGCCGTTCGGCCTCCCTGCGTGCTTCTCCACGAGTCGACTGCACGTAAGAGTGACCTTTCTCCGAAGTGACCTTGGGTGCGGGCTCAACGGGGCCCCCTCGACCGCTGAAACGCGGTGCGATAGCAGTGGCTCGCGCGCCGATGGGACACCTCGGGCCGCGCGCCACAGGTCCCTCCTTGCCTGGGGCCACCCTTTTGTGCGCCGCCGAACGAGGGCGCGCCTGCGCTGGAGCGCCCGCCGCGCTCGGGCACGCCCCGCCGGCACTCTGGCCCGAGCACCCCGCCCCCCCTCTCCCCGCCCACCGGCGCCCCCCGGAGGCGCGCGCGTCTCCCCGAGCGAGCCCTTTGGCCGATGGCCGGGCGGCCGGGCGAGCGGCGGCGGGAGGCCCCGCGCGAGCCCGCAGCGGCCGCGAGGGGGCGCGGCGCGAGGGCCGGAGGTGCGCGGCTCGAGGCCTCCCAGGCGGGGGATGGCGCCGCCCATGGCCGACGCAGCGGAGTCGCGGCGCGATGTGGAGCCCGAGTTTCTCCACGCCGGCGTCGCCGACGAGTCGCAGACGTCGCCGATGCATCGGCGATGCGGTGCAATCCTCCGACCCCATCTACTCGGACCCCATCCAGGAGGCCTCTTGCTGGGGATTCGCGTGTGTGTGTGTGTGTGCGTGTGTGCGGGGTTATCCCAAGGTGGGATTAGGGAACGAGCCCATCTGAGCGACGCAAAAACACGGAGTCGTCTGTGCCGACATTCGTGCGCAAGCTGCCCGTGTAAGCTCGCGCGTAAGTGCCCTCGTTTCCAATGCAGCGGGCCGCGCCGGCGGCCCGCGCAAGCCACCGCGTAAGGTCGGTGCGCCATCTCGCGCAAGACCCGTTTTTGATCTTCGCTCAGGGTGGGTTAGGGATCGAACCCAGCTGTGTGCTCCATTCCTCTCCCAGGAGCCGTTCCGGGCGATGTTCCTCCCAACCCCACCTTGCCCCGACCCTTGTCGGGGGGTGCTGAAGGTGGCCCATGGCCCAGGGTGCCCTCAGCTTGTCTTCGCTCCATGTTGGAGCCCCCGGGCCTCGTGATGGGGTGCGCTGGAGGGTTTCGGGGCCTCCTTGGAGAAGTCCTGGGGGCACCTTGGGCCAGGGGCACCTCTAGCAGCACCCCAGCTCTTTGCGCCCCCCGAAGTCTTGGCATCGCTCGGACGCGTGCATTGATTCTCGGCGAGGACAATCGAGGGACATCGTGGATCCTCGTGCGCAAAATGAGCGCGCGAAACCCACAAGTGCACGGGGAACGGATGTCCGAGCGATGGCAAAAAGTGTATTTGGGGCTTTCTCGGACTTCCTCGGGCCTCAGGGAGCGCACCCTCGTCGCGGCAGGATCCGCCTCGGGGTGTTCCGGCCAGGACGCGCCCCGGCGCGTCGGGCCAAGGGGGGGGGGGCAGATGTTGAGGCCTGCGTCGCGGCCCACCCCAAAGTATCTGGAAGAAGGCGCAGCGATGCGCTCACTGCACGTCGGTCCATTAAAGCGGGTATTCTTAGATTCCCAGATCCCAATTTCAAGAATCGGCATGGTGTTGATGTGTTGTGTTATTATTGGCGAGGGCCTGGACCCAACTTTTTGTATCCGCCTTCCTATTTCATGCTGTTACTTATTTCTTCAGACCGACGTGTATTGGCTTCCATTGTGCAGTATCGTTTAACCGATCTCCGTCTCCGAGCCCCACTATCCCACCATCCCAGTTGGGGAGATACCCCTCGAAACCCGCAGGGAGCAGCCCCAGGCCACGCCAGTGGGAATACGGACCGGTCAAACGCTGCTCAATTGCGGTAGTTCGGATAGTGAGTGGATAGTTCGATAGGTCAACGAGTTCTCAGATGTTCTAAAGCATGCCCCAGCTATCCACGACCTATGTCTAATGTAGTCTAAAGCTATAGAATGATGCTCAGAACGCAAGGTTGGTGTAAACAACGCGATGTCGATCTTAAAATAAAACAATGCGATGCCAATATGAACAGACGTGAGGTCGACATTGAAAATGCATCGAGTGATGTCGATCTCGCATTGTTGACGTGCCATATCGCCTTCTGGTAGATCAGCATTGCGTTTTCGAATTTCGGCCCCGCATTTGTTTAACCCCAGGGATTCGGCATCGCGTGTTTTTGAAACACGGAAGTTTGAGTTTGGGGCTATCTTAGAGGCTTGTTGGGCCGACTTGAACTGACGGACGCCCAGAATTGCGAGAATGCGAGAACTCGTCCAGAATTGTAGGACCCTCACTGATCTGGGCTCCCTCGTGCCCTGTCCTCCTGGAGGCATCCTGGGCCGCCTCGAGGCAAGATTCGGCCGCCTCGGGGTCCTCGTAGGCCTTCTTCGAGGCACGATGGGCCCTCTCGGCTGCCTTGGCTGCTTACCTGGGCCGAGTCTTGGACGCTCGTGGAGCGCACAAGTTTTTTTTTGTTCGAGATGGCTCCTGGCCTCGCCTGCGCGGATCCAGCGCTTCTGGCTCGGAGGTGGACAGAACCCCCAACAGTGACACGTCGATTAGTGAATTGTCCGTTTTCGGTTTTCGAGAAGGCGCCGTGGCCGTTATTTTCCAGGCTTGCGCCCGCCAGGTTTGGGCCTCAGGTCGTTTTCACTAAACCACGTTTTACTAAAGGGGGGTCTGTCCATCCCCGACTGGCGAGGAATCGCAGCCCCGGGAGTAGGAAGGATGCACGTACCATCAGAGCCCCGAATCATCAGGGGTAGCTCGGGTCAGGGCTAACTCGGGTTCCTTCTCCGGGAATCCAAACCCGAGTTATCCCGGACCCGAGTTGCCCCGGATAATTCGGGCGTCCAGAGCCCCGAATCATCAGGGGTAACTCGGGTCAGGGCTAACTCGGGTTCCTTCTCCGGGAATCCAAACCCGAGTTATCACGGACCCGAGTTACCCCGGATAATTCCGGCGTCCAGAGCCCCGAATCATCAGGGGTAACTCGGGTCAGGGCTAACTCGGGTTCCTTTCCCGGGAATCCAAACCCGAGTTATCCCGGACCCGAGTTACCCCGGATAATTCGGGCGTCCAGAGCCCCGAATCATCAGGGGTAACTCGGGTCAGGGCTAACTCGGGTTCCTTTTCCGGGAATCCAAACCCGAATTACCCCGGACCCGAGTTACCCCGGATAATTCGGGCGCCCAATACCAGTTTGCTGGTAGAGGGGAGCCATCGTGATGAGCCAGAAACCGTACCAGGAATCACATGGCATTCAACCATGCTTCACTTTGCCAGAGAGCACTGCGGCGGAGCTTTAAAGCAGAACGGTTGGTCCGTCTTCGTTGGTGGCCGTCGTCACCCGGAACGTGAGCCGTGCTTGTCGTGTTCCCTCCCCCATTCGTTTATAGCCACCATGTGTAGTTGGGTCTACGTTATCACCTCACCTCACCCCCGCTTCTAGCTCCTCCCACTCATCGTTATTTTGTTTTTGGGCGTAGCCCGAATTTGCTTCTCGTTAGGTAAGCGGAAATGATTGACTTGACTGTCTGAGCCGATTGGGCTGATTGGATTTATCTCATTTGTTTGGCGGCCGCTGTATTTGCGGTCACCGTGCGAGCAACCTGTGGCGCAACCAGTAGCAGTCCGTTTGATGCCCAGTAGCCGAGTGCGCCGAAAAACAATGATTTTGCTCCTGGTGAGTTTCGACGTCGTCGGTCGTGGTCGTCGGCCGTCGGGCGTCGGCGTCGTCGTCGTCGTCGTCGACGTCTTCGTCGTCGTCGTCGTCGTCGTCGTCGTTCGTCGTTCGTCGTTCGTCGTTCTTCGTCGTAGTGGTCGTCCTTGTTGCGGGGGTTACGCCCCCTACTTGTCAAGGGCGTTTCGCAAGGTTCTGCGCGCTTCTGAATGGAGGCTTCGCAGGGCGCTCTAGTAGGCTTCGCAAGGTTCTCTGCATTCCAGGCAGGGGGCTTCGCAGGGCTTTCAATGTCCTTGCATGGAAGCTCTGCAAGGTTCCCTGCACCCCCGCTGCTAGTGAGCTTCCAGGGGCTCTCTAACCCTCGGGTGTATCGACTCAAGTGCCCTGGGAAGCGTTAAACCCAGGCGTGGATACTGTTTCAAGCGCCCTGGGAAGCGGTAAACCTGGGCGTGGATATTGTTTCAAGCGCCCTTGGGACGCGGTAGCCTCGGGCGTGGATACCATGTCAAGCGCCCGTGGAAGCGGCAAACCCAGGCCCATAATGATTGAACATCCTGGATCGAGGGCTCCGACTCTGGATTTTGACGGAGCCGAGGCCACGGCGGGGGACACATAATCGAAGCCACGGAGAACACGGGACCGACACTACGGGACACCGGGAAATGCGGAGCGGGATACGCGAGAAACGCGGGGGAGCACGGGGCCGAGGCCACGGGGGACAGAACCGACGCCAAAGAAGGCATTGAAGCGAGGTCACGGGAGCTACGGGGGACACTGAACCGAAGCCACTGAGGGTACGTGGACACGGGACCGCGGTTACGGGGCACACAGAGCGGGGGCCACGGGGAAGCACGGGGCCGATGCCACGGGGGACACGGGACCGACGCCACGGCGGACACGGAGGACACGGGAGCGAGGTCACGGGAGCCGCGGGGGGATCACGAAACCGAAGCCACGGAGGACACGAGACCAGCCGTGGTGGCCGTGGCGACAATGGTGGCCGTGGCGGCCGTGCCCGCCGTGGCCGCCGTGGCCGCCGTGGTGGCCATGGTCGCCATGGCCACTTTTCTTTCTCGCCATTCGCTATTATTCGCCCGACATCGCAGTCGATCTTGGACCGTTGAAGGATTTTTGTTTATCCGCCCCAAGGAAGTTCTCTTATCCTTTAGGTTGCATTGCCACATGGATGGTGGAACCCATGTCGTAACCTATGGTGCAACGCACGTTACTAGTGATCGTGAAGCCCGCAACCTGTAACGCAGCACAGGCCGCTTATGATCGCAACCAATAGAGCGACAGACAAAACACAGGCCGTGTCATGGCTGTTTGGAGAATCGCAACACAGGCCGTTTCTTCGACTTAGAGCGCGCAACCCATGGCGCAACCAATAGTTCGCACGCTGTTGTATGATCGGCCGCCAGGCTTGGCACCTATGGTGCGCGCAACCCCAACATGTTGCGCAGCCGCTATAAGAGGTAGTTTACGTTGCGGCCGACGTTCTCCTTCTCATCCTCATCCGTCTCTCCTCTTCCTCCGTCCCCCTCCTCCATCCTCCTGCCCGTCCTCTCTCCTCTCTCCTGTTCCTACACCCCGCTGGATTAAAAATTGGAGACGGCGGGGATCGAGGAAGACATGTTTGGCCACCCGTTAGACCTCGGGGCCTGGGACAATGTTGGGTTTCATACCGATTCGGGAGTTTCAGATTCATTTATCGTTTTTTTAATGAAGGCCAACTGGGGCCAGCGTCTGAAAGTGGCATGTTGCCTGAGACTTCCTAGTAAAAAATCGCACCGCCTCCCAGACCGATCTGAAAGTTTGTCATGCCGTCTGAAAGTGGTGATTCCGCTTGTGACTTCCGCGAAAAAGTCAGATCGATGTCCATGCCATTTGAGAGTTGCGAGTCCATTCGGGACTCCCTCAAAAAGTATCTTCTGGCCTCGTTCGGGGTAGTCCATTTCCCCAGGGGTGCGCACGATTCTAGACAGAACTTCCCGCTGCAATGCTCAACACCCCGTGGTGCCGTTCCGTCGTCCGGTCCATGGACTTGTCTTAGAGTCATCTTGGAGTCTGTCGAAGGTCGACGCTCGAGGATGCATCGACAAAGGAGGGTCCAGGGGCGGTCCCCTCGCAGCGCCCCGATCACAGCTTCTTGACCCAGGGGGCGGTATACACACGCGGAGGCTGTGAGGGCCAACCACCTCTGGGCCACAGGTCGCGCACAAAGTCCACCTCCCGTCCCAAGCCATTTCAAACCTCCTGGTGCGAAAACCGAAGGATTGCAAAAAACCGAAGGATTGCAAAAAACCCTTGGTTTTTTACAATCCTTGGTTTTTTGCAATCCTCCGGTTTTTTGCCATCCTTCGCTGTTGGCAGCCTGGGGACAGCTCCCCTCGCTTGTGGCGGGCCGCCGGGTGGGGCCTGGATCTCGCTGCCACGAGCTGCTCACGACGGCCGGTCTCCCGCAGTGTGCCCCGCCTCCGGGGGCCGGTCTCGGGCCCTGGGGCCACCACGAATCTGGACGCCCGAAATGGGTACTGAAAGAATGGGTACGGTAGGTTCGCGTCGTGTCGACCGGCGGCGACCCCGCCGCCGGCGTTCAAGGTTGAACGCCGCCGGCGGCCCAGAATCGGTCGATGTTGAACGATCGGACGTTGCGGCAGCGGCCGATCGTTCAAGGTTGAACGATCCCTGCGGTGTCAAAAACCAACGCTGGGGTCGGCACGACACGAACCTGCCGTACTATGCCCAACAGCGGATCTTGTTCATTTTGAACAAGCGCTGTCCACGCCGCCGCGGCTTGTGTCCATTCGAGACAGGAGGCCGCCTGCCCAACAGCGGCCGCTGCTGGTTCGGGGCAACATTTGTGGTTGGGCATGTTGCCCATTCTTTCGGTACTCATTTCGGGTGTCCAAAACGAAACGATCTCTTGGACCAAGCGCCGGTCCCGAGGAGGGGTCCGGAGCTGTCCAGGTCGGAGGCGTCCGGGATGAGGTCGTGGCCCGGGCCATACTGCGGCGGGGGCATTCAGCTCCGGGCCTCGGGGGCTAAAGAGGCAGCCTGGATCCCATGGTGCCAGGCTGCGGATCCAAAATGCACGAGAAGGGGAGGGAAGGGCGGGAGTCACTTGGAGTTGTGGCGGGGAAGATCGAGGATTCAAGGGTGTCCACGGTTGGGTCAGTTCGGCTGCGTCGCAGTCGGTTGCGTGCGGTTTGTTCGCTTCGGTCGGTTGTTGCATCGCCGCTATGTCGTTGTGTCCCTCTCGGCCTTGATTGGTAGATTTCGTCTTCGGTCGGTGTCGGTTCTGCTGTCGTTTCGGGTGGTTTTCGATTGCATTGCCCCCTGGGCGGCCTTGGGATCGTGGAGATTCCCCTCAATGATCGAGGGCTCGTGCATCTGCAGGCAACTTTCCGGCCATCGGTCTCCGAGGACCTCGGGGTGCTCCTGGAGGCGTGAGGAGACCAAGGGCGACGACGCGGCGGCAGCTCGTCCTCGCCAAGGCTCGAGCTAAACGGTGTTTTGGCGATTTCGTGGACCGGTCTCGTTTTGATTTCGTTTAGCAGTCAAGGCAGAACGAAGGCAGGACGAGGGAAAACGAAGGCAACACGAAAACAAACAGCTCTGATTAGCTCGAGCGCTGGTCCTCGCCCTCCTCGTCTCCCTCCTCCTCCGTCGTCCCTCGCTGCCCTCTGTGCTAGCCGCTTTCCCTCCCCTTGCTCAAGCGGCTTGCGCCACTCCGCCGACCCCCAGAAGGAGTCAGAGCTTGCGACGATCGTGGAAGTTCTTCAGTGGACTTCCGATGATCGCCCCCACCCAATACATAATCTGCTAGAGAGCGTCCTCTATCGTTTCCGACGATCGGCTCCAGCCGCCACCGTGCCCGGGTTGTGGGTCAGGAGTCTCTTGGATGAGCATGAGGGTTTTTTGAAACTGGGATGCCTCTCAGGGGCCTCTGGGAGGGTTCTTGGATGGACCTGGGAGGCTTGTTGGGCCCCTTGGGGGGCCCTTCTTGGGGGCATCTTGGAGCCCTCTTGGGGCCTCTTGGGGGTGCCTCGGGAGCCTATGGTGTCTCTTGGGGCCATCTTGCGGGGAAAAGCTCGACATGTCAGGTCGTATTCTCCCACTTGTGCTCTCTCGGGGCCCTCTTGGGGCTCTCTTGGGCCGTCTTGGGGGCCTCTGGGGCCATCTCAGGGCTCTTTTGGACAGTCTTGAGGCCCTCTTGGGGGCCTCATCGGCCGTCTTGTGACGATCTTTGGGGTCCCTTCAGCAATCTTAGAAGCTGTCAAGACGAAAAAGACGAGCGTGCTACTAAAATATATGTTTTCCCGAGGGAACGGGAAACTATTTGCCTCTTGAGGCCTTCTCGGCGGTTCTCTGGGAACCCTTTTGGGCTGTCTTGGAGGCCTTGTGTACCGTCTCGATGTCATCGTGGTTCGTCGTGGGGCCACTCTGGGCCGTCTCGGCGCTCTCTTGGACTGTCTTGGTGTTCTTTCTCGGCCGTCTTGGGCCTTCTGGAGGCTCCAGAGGCCCTGGGGGTGCGTTGAGGAACTCGCACCCCCACCCCCCTCCACGCCACGCGCCCGTATGTCAGACCCCTCCCCTAGGGGGAGGGGGACAGCCAGATGTCTCACGCGCCTTTTCACCCCGGCAAGCGGGGGTCAGCAGACTCCTCCACGTTTCCTCATTCTCCTGCTCCTGCTGCTGCTGCTCCTGCCCCTGCTCCTGCTCCTGCTCCTCCTCCTCCTCCTCCTCCTCCTCCTCCTCCTCCTCCTCCTCCTCCTCCCCCTCCTCCTGGTGGAGTGTGCTCCTGCTCTCCCCGCGCGCGCGTGCCCCGCGCGGGCCGCCCGCAGGTCCAGGCGATGGCCTCGGCGGCGGCCCTGGTGGCGCTCGGAGCGATCCGGTCGTCGCTCGGCGCCATGGGGCGGGGGAGGAGGGCAGCGAGAAGCTTCAAGACTTTTTTCCGTGTTCTCGACGTTCGGCAATCAGGGCGCTTCCCCGCGCCCCATGGCTCGGGAGCCTGGGGCCGAGGGTCAACGCAAACGGAGGTCAGCGGTCCGCCAGAGCGCTGGGTCTTGCAGGGTCCTGCAGAGCCAGGGGTGCATTTACCCAGTTTAGCGCGCAGCATCCTGCAGGATCTTGCAAAGCCTGACTGAACCAGGTTTGCACTGATCCGGGTCAGTGGATCCCCGACTTGCCATATGAGCGACGCAAGGAGATGGAGGCGTCTGCGCCGACGTTGGCGCGTAAGCTGCCCGCGTAAGGTCGCGCGCGAGCGCCATCGGTTCAAATAGGATGTGCCGCGCTGGCGGCCTGCGCGAGCCGTTTTTGATCGTGAGGAGGAGGAGGAGGAGGAGGAGGAGGAGGAGGAGGAGGAGGAGGAGGAGGCTCTCGTATAGCCACGGAGCGTGGGCCATCGGATGTCTGGGGCTCGAGAGCAGTGAGCAGCTAGCTAGTCCCTCGGATGTCCGGGGCCGACCTCCGCCGGCGCTCCCTCGGCCTCTCCGCGCTCTCTCTTTCTCATCGGGGGTGGGCAGAACCCCTCCTCCTGCTCCTCCTCCTCCTCCTCCTCCTCCTCCTCCTCCTCCTCCTCCTCGTCTGCGCGGATCCAGCGCTTCTGGCGAGGAATCGCGGCCCCGGGAGTAGGAAGGATGCACGTACCAGTTTGCTGGTAGAGGGGAGCCATCGTGATGATCGGGGGTGGACAGAACCCCCAACAGTGACACGTCGATTCGTGAACTGTCCGTTTTCGGTTCTCGAGAGGGCGCCGTGGCCGTTATTTTCCAGGCCTGCGCCCGCCAGGTTTGGGCCTCGGGCCGTTTTCACTGAACCACGTTTTACTAAAAGGGAGGTCTGTCCATCCCCGATCTCAGGCCTGGCGTGTTCGAGATCCCTGCAGTGCATCACTCCATGTTCTGTTGTTCTGCCGGAAGGCCCAACGTCACGATGCCTGCCTGCGGGCGTTTGCATGGCTATCGTTGTTCTGGTACCTCCTGAACCTCGACTTTTTCGTTGTTTATCGCTCCACTCCGCCTAACCTCGATTTCTTAGCCGCGTCCCTTCCCCCTTCCCCCTTCCAGGCCCCCCACTCATATTTGTCCAACGAGTCGCAAGCAGTTTCAATGTCGACGGTCGCGCTGACTCGGAGTAATGTCCAGCACTGGTTAGAAAATATTCCCCCCTGCCATGAATTCGCCGCCGAATAATCTATTGTTGTTTTCAGATCATGTTTTATTGGAAGATATTCCACTGAGACCGATCGAGGTGATTGAGATATACGCGCGAGATGTACCCACATGTTATTGTACACCTGGTGTGTATATACATATATGTCTATATATAATATATATATGTGCGTGTACGCGCGCACGCGAATGTATTGGCAAGCACGTCTGAACTGTATTCGTGCAGATGTACAGGCTACTTCGGTCGACGAGTCTGAGACACATTACGTGCGTACGCGCGCGACTGCGCGCGCGTGCGTGCGCGGTGGCGTCCAGTTCGCGCGCTCGTGTACCGGTAGGCTCTGGTGCACGATGGGTCCAGTGCGTGCCGCCTCGCACGCCTCCCGCGCGCGGCCTGCGCCCGCGGCTTTCCAGGCCGGATCACGCGTTTGGCTTCTGAGTCCGATGCGGCCAAGTCCACGGGGGCGCCGCTGGCGGGGCGGCTTCCGCAACCGAAGCGCTGCGGCCTGGCCCTTCGCGGACTCGGAGAGGGTGCGTGCGGGGTGGTCCTTGAGAGCGCAGTCTCTATCCACGCCAGGGTCGCAGGGCGTGGCAAGCGCGGCCCGACGCCAAGAGGGGGGGCGCAGGAGCATTCCCCTGAACGCGGGGTGCCAGGGCGGTCGCGGGGACGTGCCTTTAACCCTTCTTCTTGTTTTCTATTTGCGCACTACAGTGTTGGGAGCATCTATTTTGCACACTGTCGTCCCCCCCCATATTGCTTTTTGTTCCCTACCCAGGCTCTGCCTAGAAGGGTTCTTACTCGGTGTGCTTAAAGGGCCGGGCAGTGGGGCCCGCCCCGGGCGGTTCCCCCAGTATCCGCCCCGCGGTTCCCCTAGCTACGTCCATTTAGCTTAGCGTTGCTTATCTCATCGTAGCTTAGCTTATTTCATCTTAGCTTAGCTTAGGTTCATCTCAGCTCAGGTTTATCTTAGCTAGCTTACCTTCAACATATCATTATTTCTTCTCTCTTCCTCTCACCATTCCTCGTTCCTTTTATTCCCTACCTAGGCTCTGCCTAGAAGGGTTCTTACTCTCTGGGCTTAAAGGGGCCCGGCAGTGGAAAGCGCCCCGGGCGGTTCCCCCAGTATCCGCCCCGCGGTTCCCCCAGTTACGTCCCTTTAGCATAGCATAGCATAGCATAGCATAGCATAGCGCAGCCTAGCATAGCGTAGTATAGCTTAGCATAGCACAGCGCAGTATGACATATCATAGCTTAGCATAGCATATCATAACATAGCATAGCGCAGCATGTCATAGCATAGCATAACATATCATAGCATAGACCAGCGCATCATAGCATGACATAGCATAGCATAGCATAGAAACTAATGCTGTTTTCCTCGGGGCTCCAACCTCTAGGTAGGGTCGCACTGGGGTCATTGTATATAATAAAACTGTTTTGAGACACTCGGTGATACCTTTGCTTGCTCCGTGAGAAATTCTTCACGCTTCGCGTATCCCCACCAGGCTCCCTTCAGGTGTCTTGGTGTGCGACTTTGGTGGCGCCACCCTACGCACCAGTTTTGGGCCAGTATCAGCACCCATGGCAGTCGACGCGGTGTACTGGCTGGTTGCCTCCCTGGTCACTTCCTGGTACGACCCTCGCGCCATTTTGGCTGCGCCCCAACCCTGGTTGGATAATCTTATGTGCGCGCTCCTGGACCTGGTCCCTGGCAGCTGCAGCTTGCACCTCCCCCTCACGCCGGCCCGCCCGCCGAGGCGCTGCTGAGGTCGCCGGCCCGTCGGCGTTAGGAGGCAATTCGGTTCTTGCGCGGCCCGCTCGGACCTCACTCGCCGCTGGCGCCCCCGCCTGCGGTTGTGACAAAAAAGTATCCCCACCAGCCCATTCAGAAATCCTGCCCTTCAGAGCTGACGGGGAAAGGGACGAAGAGACATATCTAGGGAAACAAGGCGAGCAAGGGGGTGGCCTGGAAGGCCTCTTCGGGCCATCCCTGGGTGCCGAGTGGGGGCGAGGGGAAGAGGAGGAGGAGGAGCAGGAGCAGGAGCAGGAGCAGGAGCAGGAGCAGGAGCAGGAGGGGAGGAGGAGAGGAGGAGAGGAGGAGAGGAGGAGAGGAGGAGGAGGAGGAGGAGGAGGAGGAGGAGGAGGAGGGATGAGGAGGAGGAGGAGGTGGAGGACGAGGAGGACGAAGACGCGGATGAGGACGAGGAAGACGAGGACGAGGACGAGGACGACGCGGACGAGGATTCATGGAACCATCTAGAGGTATTCTTGCGGCTGCTTCTGCTGCTGCTGGTGTTCTCTGGGAGTTTTTGGGTCCCTCTTGGAACCCTCTTGGTAACCCTGGAAAGCTTCTTGGGATCATCTTGGAGGCCATGGATTACAGGATGAGGGGGTCCCCAACTTGGCTGCCCCCTCAGGAGCCGGCAAACCGCTTCTTGGAGTATATTTGGAGCCATCTTGAGTCATCTTGAGCCAGCTCGGGCTATCTGGGCCATCTTGGAGGTCATCTTGGGCTCTCTGAGGTTGCTCGGGGGCCTCTTGGGGGTCTCTCGGGTGCATCCTGGTGCCCTCTTGGGACCCTCTTGGAGTCCTCTTGGGACTCTCTTGGGGCTCTCTTGGGTGCTCTGGAACGCCTCTTGGGGCCATTCTCGATGCTATCGATCAAAGGAGGGAGGGTCCCGATCGAGGTCCCCCCCTCGGGGGCCACGATCCTCGTGAGGAGTGTCAAAAAATGGCCCTCCCAGGGGCCGATCTTGGACGCTCCAACCGATCGCGGCCCTTCCCGTCCAGGTCCAGGGGAGGGGGTAGGGGGAGGGGGAACCCCCCCGAAGGGGAACAGGGGTTTTTGGAAGAGGAAAGAATGTCATCGCTAGACCATCTCCGACCAGAGGGCTGGTAGGATGTGTAGGCGCCGGTCGCTTGCGAGCGGGGGTGGGGAGACGGCAACGGTGGGAAGGACATCGGGTGCGATTGTGAGAATAATGCGGATGGGAATGCAAGTGGAGTGGGTGGAGAGGGACGTCGTCTCGCCGCTCATTCGTGCGCCGTTTGGTGTGCCCCTGTATGTGGCCCTCAAGGTGCCCCAAATGTGCCCCTATGCTGTGTCCTTTTGTCATGCGTTTCCGCGAGACCTTGCAATCCTTATGTGCCCCTACGGGTCTGACCGGCGCTTGGGTATGGGACACACCCACTGGGCTTTATTTGGCTGCAAATATATTTCAAGTATGACTTCGCTGGCTTTCCCGCAGGGGTCGGGTTTACACGTGGTTGCCCAGTGTCCCGTAATCGAGGTCATCCGCGGGGGCGCGACGGTAGTCGCGTTTCGCGCGTCACGGTCTGGGCCGGAGCGGCTGCCTTTCGGAGGCCGCGCGAGGGCGCGAAGATAATCGCGGATCGCGGAGCGCGATGCGCGAAGTTCGGTGATCCAGTTCATGCTTTTGTGCGCCTCGCGGGTGGTTTCCCCGCCCCCACGATTTGCGCGCCGCCGAGAGGGGGGGTGGTTGCCGAGGGTCGGGTGGACTGGGGCGGCGTCTCGGCGCTCATTCGTGCGCCTTGTGGTGTGCCCCGTGATGTGGCCCGCAAGGGTGCCCCGTGACGTGCGCCGTAACGTGCCCTTTCAAGTGCCCTTTACACACCGATGGTTGAAGTAGGTATTTCAGGATTTCCATCTTCCAATCTATTGCAAGCGCCTTCCTACTTCAAGCGTGGATGATGTCTGCTGTTTGTTATTATTATGATTATTTGGGCGGGCCTGGCGCCAATCTGCTGAACATCCGCCTTCCTACTTCATGTTTATACTTATTTCTTCCGACGGACCTGTGCACCTTGGTTCGTTCCTCAATTCATGTTCTTGTGCACCACGCGGCTAGTTCCTCCGAGCCCCCCGATCGCGGAAAGGGGCTGGGACGAGGGTAGATCCGTGCCAGAGCGTGCCGCAACGCTCTCGGAGCGTTCCAGAATACCCTGAGAAGGCCGCGGCGCCCGATGTATCCTCCAGAGCCGCCGGATCTCAGCGCTTCTCGATTCTTCCTCACCCGGCTTTGCCCCCGTGGGGGCCTCGCCTGAGATCGGCGTGCCACCAGGCCGAGGGAGGGGGGGGGGGGGGCTGCGGGCGGCAGGCTTCCTGGTGCCCGCGGGCGCCCCGAGCGCCGTGGCGGCCTCCGCCGCGAGGGCGGCGCCGCCGCCGCCGCACGTCGCCGCCGTCCCCGTCGATGCCGAAGGAGGAGGGGGGCAGGCTGCAACTTCGGGGCACCTCGCCCGTCCTTGGGCGACTACAGATGGTATCGTTACGCCGGGGTGTGGTCTGCGAGCAGCACCGTTGGGGCCGGGGGAGCACGGCACTGCCCTCGTCGGGCTTCCTCGGGGTGCAGCGGAGAGCCCTGTCGAGGTCCTCGCCCGCCCTCCACGGGTGTCCCCCACCCCTGCCAATACACACCTTTCGGAGTCACAGAGTCTCGTGGTCCTTATCCAGGACCCGGCGTATCTTACGCGCGACGCGTGTTCGGCACGGATTCGACGCAGGTCCGACGGGCTCAGAACGGAGTCGACGCAGATTTGGCGCTTCGTTTCGGCTGCGAGCCCACAGAGGAAGTGAGAGGGGGCAGGCCTTCTCAGAAGGCGGCAGGGCTCTGAGGACGAGGCGGCTTCTCAGAAGGCCGGAGGGCTTCTGAGAGGTCTCGCTGCCTTCCGAGAAGCTTACCGCCTTTCTCTTCCCCCTGGGCTCGCGCCGCGTTCGTTGGAACTTCGGGGGCCCTGGTCTATCCTGTTGTCCTATTCTGGTGCCCGACGTATGTTCGACGCGGGTTGAACGCGGTTTCGACGCAGGTCCGACGTGGACTCGGCACGGATTCGGCAAGGTCGACGTGGGCCCGACCGCGAGGTCGCGGCGCCGCCGTGCAAGCGGCGGCAGGGTGGAAGTCGGCGGGGGCACGTCCTCGCAGTGAGGAAAACAGGAAGAGCGGGCCCCGAGGGAGGCGGATCCCGAGGTTGTTCGCCGCTTGCGGGCTCTCGGTGCCCGCCTTGAGCGGTGATTCGGCGGCCAGCCCGGGCGGGAAGTGAGAGGGGCCAGGTTCTCTCAGAAGGCTCGGAAGGCCTCGGGCCTTCCGCGAAGTGTTCTAAGCCTTCCCCGAAGACAGAGCATTTCTCAGAGGGCTAGAGGGTTTCAGAGAAGCCCCCGCCGCCTTCTGAGAAGGCCTCCTCCTTCTCACTTCCTCCCTCACTCGCCGACGAGTGGTAAAACAATTATGCTAACGGAGTTCCCCACATAAAGAGATTAACGGTTTCGTGGAACCCATTTTCTTGATGCCCTCCTCGCTCAGGCGGGGCCTCCCTGGAGGTGTGGGAGGGGCACGAAACCATGTAAATAGTATGGTTTGCCGATACCCTCCTCGCTCAGGCGGGGCCTCCCTGGAGGTGTGGGAGGGGCACGAAACCATGTAAATAGTATGGTTTGCCATACCCTCCTCGCTCAGGCGGGGCCTCCCTGGAGGTGTGGGAGGGGCACGAAACCATGTAAATAGTATGCTTTGCCGATACCCTCCTCGCTCAGGCGGGGCCTCCCTGGAGGGGTGGGAGGGGCACGAAACCATGTAAGTAGTATGGTTTGCCGATACCCTCCTCGCTCAGGCGGGCCTCCCTGGAGGTGTGGGAGGGGCACGAAACCATGTAAATAGTATGGTTTGCCGATACCCTCCTCGCTCAGGCGGGGCCTCCCTGGAGGGGTGGGAGGGGCACGAAACCATGTAAGTAGTATGGTTTTCGGTATGGAGTGGTATGGAATGGTATGGTAGGTATGGTATGGTACGGTATGGTATGATATGGTATGGTATGGTACTGGAGGTATGGTATGGTATGGTACGGTGTGGCATTGGTGTGATATGGTATGGTATGCTATGGTACGCCATGGTATGGCATGGTACGGTATGGTACGTATGGTGTGGTATGGTATGGTATGGTATGGTATGGTATGGTATGGTATGGTAGGAACTATGGTATGGTATGGTGTGTGTGGTAGGAATAATATTGTGCTGTATGGAAGATGGAGGGAGGTGGGTGGGAAGGAGAGGGTGTTCTGGGAAAACAAGAACCCCACTCAGGATGTGGGGAAAAACTACTCCGCATGGGAAGCTGGTCCTGCGGGAAGGCCCTGGGGTCCAGGCCCCATTTTCCTCAGGCTCCGTTTTAGCCATGGTTTGGGATGACCGCCAGGGGTGCTAAGGGGACAGGGGGGTTACAAGTGGATGCTGAAGTGGGCTACATCTGGCGTGAGCTAATCTATAAGTGGGTTGCAAGTGCCCTAAGTTGCTTTGGTGGGTTGGATAACTCCGCTGAGTGGGCACTGCCCACTTAGTCCAGATCTTAAGCCACCTAGGCCACTTCAGCCCACTCGGAGCTACGCCAGGCCAGACAAAACCTACCTTAGCACGCACGTGTAGCCCTCAATGCCCTCAGCACCCCCGCGGTCATCCCAGTAGAAGCTTGTCGGCGTATTGTGAGGCGACGCGGAGCCTTTTCGTGACCACGGCTGGGAGCTCAGCTCGAAAAGTTGGCCAGGAGGGGGGGGGGGGCGGGCCAGAGCTCCGTTCTGCGCGGACCTTCGTTTGGGGACGCGAGCCTCCGACGGCGTGGTGTCAGCGGTGTTGGCGCTGTTTCCCTGGCTTCGGTCTCCGGGGGCCGTCTCCGGGCCCCTGGGCCGTCCAGACGACGATCCGCCCCGGAAGACGGCCCCGAAGGGGCCAGTCGGAACGCTCGCCACCTCGGAGGTCCGAGGCCCCGCCCCCTCCCGCTCCGCCTCGTGTTCCTCCGCATCACTATTCGGAGTACCACTGCTCCATCCAGCTGCTGCTGCTGCTGCTGCTGCTGCTGCTCGTCTTCCTGTTCAGCCTCCGACTCCGCCCTCTGACTTCGGTTCCCACCCGCGCCCTTCCAGTCCCATCCTCGTCGCATCATCCTCTGCCTGCTCTTCCCTGCATGTTTGGAGGGGGGCCGCTTCGGTTTTGTAGTGGGCTCAAGGTTTCCCCAGACCCTTCCCTGGGTGCTCCTCTGGCACTCTTTGTGAATCAGGGCGCCGCTGGAGCAGAGCATGGGCTCTCCGTTCCTCACGCGATGCTCCGTGCGTCAGTGTCTCCACGTCGTCCGCCTTCTCCTGTCGGGTATAGCCAGGACCCAAGTTAAGGGAAGTTGGTGAGTAATTCGGCCACGAAGTCCAAAAATGAATTGGAATTACTGGACCAGGTCTGCCATAGCTGGTGTTTTTCTGCTGACGGCAGTTCCGGTTAGTGGAATGAGGCGGGGGGAGCGTCCCCCAGTACACATCACTAAACCAGTTCCCATTACACCCAGTCCCGCCAACGCCCGATTCTGCTCCCCTTCCTCCCCATAATTGGCAGCCGTGAAGCAGTGCACGGCGGCCGAGCCTCGCAGGTGTCGCGGCAGAATAACCAAACCACACAGCGCGCGCGGGCTTCCTCGCCCTCTGGGCCCTTCTGCGTTGGGGGCTCGTCTCGGGCGCGTGGGAGCCGGCCGTCAGACAGTGGGCGCGTGGGATACGAAGCACGCTGCGCCCCCGTGGGGGGGGGGTCGAGAGCTCCAGGGGCCAGCGGCCCAGCAATGACGGTCGGCACTGGTCGCAAGGATCAGGGGCACCCTCGAGGGCGCGAAGGTATTCACGCTTCGCGGTTCGGCTCCGATGCTTCATGCTTTGCTTCCCCCCTGGGGGCGGCGGCGCCCTTGGATAGTAGCGATGAACGGCTTTCAAAGGTTACCGTTGCATCCTTCCCTTTCGGCCCATCCTTGACCCTAAACCCTAAACCCTAAACCCTAAACCGATGTTTGGCGATCATTCCCGAATCAGGCTTTGCCGAATCGATTCTAAATATTTGTTTTTGAAGCGGTGGGTGCGGGGCCTGCGCATGCAGCTGGCGTTCTTTTGGGGTTCCTAGGTTGTTTTCCTTGCAAGGACGTTCTTTGGAATTCCTTGGTGTTCCTCGGTGTGCTTGGTATTGTGCCTTTGCCTTCCCCCCAATCGATTGGCTTTGTATATTTACTGCATTCCTTGGGTGGCTTGAGTTTCTTTGTTTTACTGCATTCCCTGGGTTGTTTGGTCTTGTTTCTTTCAGCCCTTGCAACGCCAAGCAATGCCAATCGACGCCACTCAATGCTGCTCCGTCCCCACGTGCTCTTCGTGATTATCATTCCCTTTTTACTTCCGCATGTATTAGGGCTCAAAGCGTAGTCTTACAGTACTATACGTTTGTCAATCTGGACATCCGACTTCCCCACGATGATGCGGCGTGCCGGTGTTGCAGCGGTTGTCTGTGGGGAGCTGTCCGCATGCTCGCACGCTTTCGTCATGAAGCACGATCGCCACCTCACCGCAGGCATGGGCAGCGACGAATCGGTGCTCGACTGGGGAGTAGCAGACGAAGACACGATGGGGAAGCTTCTGCTGCGTCAACAGAGCAGCCAGCACTTCATCGCCGACCTCGATAATGACCGCATGATTCTTGTGACCGACCTTGGGGAGGGCTCTGCGCTGGACAGTCACGAGGGGGTAATCGCAGACGAGGTAAGTGCAACCTTGTCACCCAAAGCTCGCCAAAATGCCCATTCTGCACAATTCGAGGCAGAGTTCAAGATTCAGTTGAACATGACCCAGGCCCACGCCACAGGCATGCCCATGGGGCTAGAGCTCTCATTCGACACCGACTATCAGCCTGTGTCGGTCAGCAAGGTCAAGAAACACGGCCTTGTGGAGGAGTGGAACACGGCGAACCCTGGCAACGATGTACACGTTGGTGACGAGATCGTTCAGGTCAACAGCATCCAGTGGCACCACAACACCCCTGACTTCGTCAAGCGCATCAGCGGCCAGTTCAAGGCCGGGCGCAAGCTGACGGCTGGGGCGAATGAGATGTTCATTCTCTACATCCAGAGGCCGAAGCAACACAGTCACAAGCGCTTCCCCATGCAGCGGGAGGACGCCCACCACAGAGCTTACCCCGTTGAGTTCGATGCCAAGCTTACCGTTCTCCCGCTGGGGCTGCCCACGAGCGCCTCGGAGAGCGAGGTCATGGGCTGGGAGCTGCACGCCAAGAACGACTGGGACCCAGTCTCGATCGGCAACCTCACGGGCGTCGGCGCCATCGCCGCGTACAACAAGGCCAATCCAGA